TTAAATATTAATGGCGGTAGGGAAGGAAGAACAACAGGAAAGCCAGAGAGGCAGAGAGGTCGTGCTATGGAATGGGGATTGTAGTGTTGGCGTGGGGACACGTGTCTGACTATATTTGGTCACTGCGATGTGAGATTATTGGCCCTGGATGGGGAGTGCTCAGAAAGACATGTCCATGTCTACATCTTTTGATGATAACGAATTAATGATGATGTTTATTGTTTATAAAACTCTTTCGAAACAATTTAAATTTATCCAAAAATTTTGTAATAAAATTATGGGTATGGTTATGGGGACTTGCAAGTCGTAATGATTTGGACAAAATAGTCGATTGTTAAGTGGTTGTGGCCAACCGATTATACTAATATGGTCTTTCTGATGGAATGTAGCGATCGACCCTAAACCTGGATCGGTCGATTGTGCATAAGATAAGAGACTCCTAAACAGAAAGTTTGACCTTTCCACCAAAGTGGTCGACAATATCAAGAAAAGGTCGACCTTTCAAAAGGCTGACGTGAGGTCGATCATTTTTTAGAAGCGGTCAAGCACTTTAGCTATTAGGTTGACCTGTAAGCCATTAGGTAGACCGCTTATTGAATGTAGCAAAACAAAAAAAAAGTGTATTCAGACTACCGCATACGCTTATTGATCGACCGTTTTGTCCGATTCACGATGACTTGCAAATCACCATAACAAATTCTTAAAATTATAATAAAGTAATGTAAACGGTTATTATGTAATCATACAGGTTTAATGGAGAATAAATACATTTTTTTCGCCAAGTAGTGCTGATATGACCCTTTTTTTTTGGTAGAAAAATGGGACGCTAAAAGGGCGCCCCTGCCTGACACATTAAATTAAACTAGATTGGGCAATGCCCAAAGAGTCATACAAGAGCCAAAAATTAAGCCCTGGGTCAATAGACTCAAAAATATGAAATCCTAAACCAAGAGAATGGCCTCTATTAGCCAAAAAATCAGCAGCTTTGTTTCCTTCCCTGAAAGTATGAGAGATAAGAACCTCCCAGTCTTGATAAAAAAGGCTATGGAATTGCCTCCAAAGATTGTGGTAGCGCCCTTCGTAGTGATCGTGTGAAGTAATAATTCCGAGGGTGACCATCAAGTCGATTCTTAGCTCCACTTTGCGGCAGCCCAAACTCCAGGTGAGGCGCAATCCCTGAGTAGCACCCAACAGCTCTGCCCTGGTAATTGTGCAGGCCCCGAGGTTCGAGGTGAAAGCACCTAAGCACTTGCCCGAGCTATCGCGCACCAGGCCTCCCGCCGCTGCCAGCGAGTCCGGGTGTTTCACAGAGCCACCGGAGTTGACCGCAACCCAGCCGGGGCGTGGGGGGATCCAAGCAACATCAGTCGCTGTCTTTCGTTGAAGCGGAGTGTGAATGGCCTTTTCGTTGCTTTGAGCTTCTCTAATGGTGTTGGTCCAACTTAGAATCCTTTGAACAAGGGTGCGGGAGTCTTGATGCTTGTTGTTGAAGATCCAGTCGTTCCTCCTTTTCCAAAGGTACCACGCTGCAACTCCAAACAGCAGCCCGGTTTTCGAGTCCTTGAGATTCCTTGCCATCCAATCTGTCAAGTTAAGACCAATAGTTAGAGTTGATTCAGAGAATCCAAGCGCTTGCCATACCTGGGTGGCCGAAACACAATGGCGTAAGATGTGATCTGTGGTCTCTGGGGCCTCTTTGCACAGCTCGCAAGTATCTTGAGCACTAACCCTTCGTCTTTTCCTCTCGCAATTTGTCATCAAACGATTGTGGTAGGCTAGCCAGAGAAAGTGCCAAATCCTATTAGGTCCATCCCATTTCCAGATAGCTTTCCAGGTGGCAGCTGCTGTGGTTGAGGCCTCATCCCCATCTCCTTTGTTGAGCCAATCCGTCGCTGCGATGTAAGCCGATTTCAGCCGGAATTTCCCATCTTGCTCCATTCCCCATGACGTCTGATCCTCTCCCGATTCTTCATTTGGCGCGTCAAGCCCTGCAATGAGAAGGTTAATGGAGTCAGGAAGAAAGTCTTCAAATCTCGACCAATTCCACTCACCTGAGGCAGTGGTCATCTCTGCGACGGAGGCGTTCCAGTCTACAGCATCGGCATGTCCCGCTGCATAGTCCTTCAGATAGATTCCGTCAGCCACCCAAGCATCATGCCAGAAACTGACACTTTTCCCATTCCTAATGTCCCACACGGTTCCTTGTTTTACAAGAGGGAGGACTTCCAAGATCCCTTTCCAAAGTCTAGAAACCCGTAGCTGACGCAACGAGATGCTACCATCATCTTTGGTCTTGACGTACTTGTCGTGCAAAACTCGGACCCATAGAGGTTGTTCATTATTAAGGAAAGTCCAACCAAGTTTCATCAAGTAAGCCAGATTAAGTGCCCGAGCCGAGCGAAGACCCAGGCCCCCTTCCTCCTTCGGTTTGCACACGTTCTCCCACGAGACAAGATGAGCCTTGGAATGACCTTCTTCAGCTCCCCAAACAAACCTCCTGATCTTCCTATCGATCTCCTCACAGATGTGACAAGGGAGGACAGCCGTTTGCATTACGTAGTTGGGGAGGGCGTTCAGCACCGAGAGGGCAAGCGTGACGCGACCAGCTAAAGAGAGACTCCGAGTCTTCCATCCCGCCAGCCGTTTGTCTATCTTCTCCAGGACAAACTTGTAAGTTTCCTTGGTAACACGACCATGGAGTACCGGAACGCCAAGATATCTGCCCAGGTTATCAGTCTGCTTCATTCCCAGTAATCTGCTAATTCTTCTCTTCCTCTGCTCCTTGGTGTTCTTTGAGAAGAAAATACACGACTTATCCTTGCTCACTTCCTCTCCAGAAGCAGCACAGAACCTGTCGAGGCAATCGAGGACAGCCCTCCCCTGCTTAGTATCAGCTTCAGCGAAAAGAACTAGATCATCTGCAAAAAACAGGTGCGTCAGTGCAGGACCATTCTTAGATAAATATAAAGGCACCCAATCTCCGTTACCAACAGACTCTTTAATGCAGTGATTCAAACGTTCAATGCATAAAGTAAAGAGATAGGGAGAGAGAGGGCATCCCTGTCTTAACCCTCGTGACGGTGTGAATGAGTCCGTGCAGCTACCATTCCAGAGAACCTGGAAACTGGAGGTTGTAACACACGCCATGATCAGATTGATGAAATCAGTAGGAAGGCTAGCCGCAACCAGGGTGGAGCGCAGGAAATCCCAATTGATTCTATCATAAGCCTTAGCTAAATCAATTTTCAGAACCATATTCCCACGACGACCCTTAAGCTGGCTGAGCGAGTGAACCACCTCCTGCAGGATTATAATGTTGTCCGTGATGTGCCTGTTAGGGACAAAGCTGGTTTGGTTCTCATCAATCAGCTGGGGGAGGATAGTTTTCAGGCGATCAGCCAGGCATTTAGCTAGCACCTTGTAGCTCACATTACAGAGCCCAATAGGTCGAAACTGTCCCAAAGAAGATGGAGAGTCAACCTTGGGCAGCAAAGACAAGAGGGTCATGTTGCAACTGGCAATGCGGTCTGGTTCCTTGAAGCATTGGACTAGATGACGGTGGAAATCCTTGCCGATAGAGGCCCAGCATTTTTGATAAAATACCGCATGAAACCCATCCTTACCCGGTGCCTTAAGACCCCCCATCGCCTTAATAATCCTGCAAGTTTCATCTTCCGTGGGAATGGCAGCCAATCCACGCAGCGCACTCTCCTCAACTGCAGGGAACATGGCCACTAAGAGGGGCCTTATGCCACTGTCCTCGGTGAAGAGAGAGATGTAGAAGTCCCTAGCCATATTTTCCAGTAACTGGGGATCTTCCACCCAAGTGCCATCCGTAGTCTTAAGCTTAGAAACCTTGTTCCGGCGGCGTCTAGTCAGGGCAGCAGTGTGGAAGAAAGAAGTATTTTTATCCCCAAAGTTGATCCAGCCCGCTCTCGATTTCTGAATCCAGAGCAGTTCTTCCTGCCATAAGGTTTGCTCCAACTCATCGCGAAGAGAAGCCTCAAGTTGAAGGCCATGGGGATCGGGAGAGGAGTCATTCCTGAGCTCAGCAGTAGCAAGGCGCTTGGTGAGAGTGGCCTTCCTCTTGAAAATGTTGCCGAAGACCTCCCTATTCCAAGTCGAGAGGGTTTGTTGAAGGTCTTGGAGGGAGTCGATGAAATCAGCTCCCTGCTTCCAAGAGTTCTCGAGCGTTGGCTGAAAGTCTTCGTGAGTGAGCCACGGGGCAAGAAATCTGAAAGGCCTCTTCTGCTTCTTGTGAGGTTGATCGTTGGAAGAACAGATCAGAATGGGTCTGTGGTCTGAACGAAGCCGCGGCAGGTGATTAGTAATCGTCTCCGGGAAACAACTCATCCATTCCGCATTGCAAATAGCCCGATCCAGCCTGGAGAAGAGATTTCCCCTGACCCAAGTGAACCGAGGCCCCCTGAACTCCACATCTAACAGCCCACAGTCGTCAATGCATCTGTTAAAGTTAACAGAACTTGAAGGATTATAAGCCGCCCCACCGATTCTCTCAGAAGGACCTCGTATGGAATTAAAGTCGCCAGCCAAAAGCCAAGGTTCAGAGATATTCTGCTCCAGCTTTCTAAGAGCATCCCACAGCGGCAGTCGATCATGATCGTTAGGCTTGGCATAGACCGCCGTAAGGAGTACAGAACGATTATCCTGCACATTCACACAACGAAAATGGAGCATCTGAGAATTACGATCAAGAACAGAGATGGAAAAGACAGCAGAATTCCACAGAACCCAAATGCCCCCTGAAAATCCTACAGCTTCTACCATCTCATGCTTGTCAAAGCCCATATTACCAATGACCTCCAGCGCATCCTTGCCACTGATACGAGGCTCAACGATGAAGACCAGGTTAGGGCGATGGGAAAACACATAATCTTTGAAAATCGTTAAAAATTTGGGGCTCTTAGCCCCACGACAGTTCCAAGAAAACAACTTAATCATAGGAAAAGAAGAGGAAGGGAGAAAGAGGCGCCCGAGCGCTAGGTTTCAGTGGCCAATTGGCCCCCAATCGCTTCAAAGGCCGGCGGAGGAGTAATGGCCGAGTCGTTGTTGTCTGCCATCGCCAGGTCGTTCACTTTGCCAGTATCCGCCTGTAAATTCCCCTTGGAAGTCTTCCTCATGTTATTCATGAACTCAGAAATGGATTGAGGATTGATTGGGAAGCTGGGCGACTTCGACAGCTCTTGCAGGAGCTTCCTCGCCTTTTGGGGATTCTGGCTCAGCGGCTTCTTGGACGATTCTTTCATGATTTTTGGCCTGACTTCCCTCGCCGCGATTTGTTGCGATTTGGGTTTCTGGGAGCGGTGGCGAATCGAAGCAGTCGGCAAGTTGGGGTCGGAATTTTCCTTCGTTGTCGGCTGAGGTGGAGAAGGAAACATCGAGATATCGGTACCATGGGTTGGGCTCAAGTTCCCCGTAGCTACACTCTGGTTCAACGAAGAGTCAGATGGGCCTGTTCCAGCCAGTGGGCCTGACTTGAGAACTTCTCCGTGAGAGAGCGGCCTTTTCTCATTCTCCTTCAGCCCAACGGGCCGCCATTCCTGAGCGATTGTTCCACTAGTGTCTGGCAGAGAGTCGTTGCCATTCCCCACCACTTTCCCTTTAGGATTTGAGACATTGCCTTTCTTGTCTTCTGCTTTAGATGTCGCCTTCCCTTTTCCTTCCTTTCCTAAACTGGACCTGGCCGGATCATTCTTTCCTTGTTGGTTCACTTTTTGATTGACTTTCCCAGAAGTTCCCCCTCGGCCTGATTCACCGCCTTGAGAGCTGGCCGCAATCTGCGTCACCTTCCTATTCTGCTTCTTACTCCTCTTCGTCACTTGCATCCACGGCCCGTAACCGGCGGGAGACTCCGACGACGGTGACGAACCTTCAATGGGAAGGACGGGAACTTCTGCTGATGAGATGACGTTAGGGACGTTACCCGTTTTCTTGGAACAGGACTCTTCGGTGTGGCCAATCCTGCCACATCCGAAACAAATTTCCGGTAGGTTCTCATAGAGCACCGGTTGCCAGAACCCGTCCAGCCGAATTCGAGTCGCCAGCGGCTTCGTCATGTCTAGCTCCACCGCTATCCGAGCAAACTTTCCACGTTCCATATTTTCAGTATGATAATCCAGCTTCACCGTTCTGCCAACAAGATTCCCCAAGGCAAAAAGTACCTCCCGATGGTAGAAATGGACCGGAAGCTCTGGCAGTTGGATCCAAGCTACAACCGATTTATGGGGTTTATCTACAGTCCTGAAGGACGGCGACCATTGGTGGACAACAAGATAGTGATCAAGTATTGTCCATGGCCCCCCGGTGAGCGCATGAAGGAAATCCTGATCATTATGGAACGTGACCAGGAAGGTTCTGTCATTCAGATCCAGGATGTCCAGCCTTCCGGTTGGGCGCCATTTCCATCGGAGTTGAGAGCACAGAAACGCATAGGAAATCGAACGCCCAAGCAGTCTGACCATGAGGGTTTTCTTCCAAGGAGAACAGAGACGATCCTTAAGCCTTTCCGAAACCTTGAGCTCTGGTTCGCCACCAAAAAGCCCGGGTTCGATATCGTGCTCTCCGACAAACGTCCATTGATTTTGTTTCGGCGGTGTTGTCTGTGAAGGGCCGGCGAGAGCCATCTTGAAGTTGAGCGGAGGGAAGCTCGCTGGATCAGGGATCGCAGGTTGCTGAGGAGGAAGCAAGGAGGAGCCTGGATCCGACGGACGTCCAGCATGCGGTGGATCAGTCGCCGGAGGTGAAGAACTTTCCGGAGCGCTATAGAGCATTGTTTTCTATCGTCAATACTTTTATCTTCTTCTGATATGACCCTTTATTGAATGGCTCTAGTGTCTAGATTTATATCAAGTCTGATCACTCGAAGTTGAACTGTTGTACCTTTTCATTATGGTATGGAATTATTATTTTCTAACATAAGGCTATTTTATTTTGTTTGCCGGGTAAAATACACCCGCTACCACTTAAGTTTTCTATTTGGTGAAGTCATACCACTTAAGTCTAATTAGTGCACCGGGTACCACTTAAGTGCAATTTAAGTGCTTCCATCCAAAATTCCATCCTACACACTAACGGAAGAAATTTAATATTAATTATTTTCCTAATCAGTATGGCCACCTAAACTGAGAATGCTGAGTCATCATATTTAATGACACATCACCCTAACTATTACTTTCCACTCTCTAAACCCAAAGCCAGAAACCATCAATAGCCCGTACAAAAAGAAATATAATCCCTAATAAAAGAATAAACTTAGAACTCACGTAGTCCAACTCACCAAGACCCTTCGTCTCCTCTCGCCTGAAAAAGCTCCTGGATTCTCCCATCTTCGTCTTGGCCGTCGGTGATGGAGTTCAAATGCAACTCCAAGAATATTTGAAGTCGAGTCGATCACTATTGTCCACTCGATTCCATCTGAGAGCCAGGAATTTCTGCAGTCCAAACCTGTAGTAGAGAATATACAAAGGCGTTGTTGGTGAATAATCGGCGGAGAAGACGACGACGGCTGGGTTCGCTTTCAGGTATGGACCGCCTTCATTTTTTTTTATAAGCATCAGGTTTAGGGCTTTACAAAAATAGAAGGTTTGAGTTTGAGATTTATCTTCTAATTAACTGGAGAACAAGGAGAAGAGGACAAGAAAGCATAGGCCCAACAATGTTAGAGTAAATAAAAAGAGGGGTAAAATTCATTGTAGTCAGTGTGGCTTAGAGGGTCATAACAAAGCTTTCCATCGGAATGAGCAAGGAAGTGCACCATCTGAACCACAACCAATAGTTGGAGAATCAATTGTTGGGGGCAGAAATGGTGCAAAGGAGTCAAATGAAGGTGATACATGGTATTCTGGGAAAACAATTAATAGGACAGAAGGACGACACACTACCTTGAGAGAACTAGCATCTCCTCTCCTTACCTCAAAGACACCATTTGGAGCTGAAACTGGCTGTAATCATCCACAAACAGCTGCTGTAAGTTTTCTACCTTTATCTATTTTCCTCATATATATTTTGCTCTGATTTGATGGAGGAAAATAATTGAATTATTGAATGAACATTACTGTTGCTTATTCAATATTCCCTCCCTGCTCTTGATCATACAGGGAAGTTGTCAAACTCATCCCTTGAGTCAACTCACTATTAATATGAGTCAGCCATATATTCAACAAGAATTTCCCGTTGCATCCTCAGCGCCAACTAATTGGCAATCTCAGGTATATATTTGCAGCATGATTTGAACTACCAAACATCCTTTTCAAATCTTTGTTTTCTCATAGTAACAAAATCATTTATTCTTCCAACTACCATACTTCAGGTAAATGAATGGACTGCATCTGTTTCGGGGAGAGGAAGGTCAAATGGAAGGGGAAGTCATGGAAGGAGAGGGGGAAGCAGGATCTTGTGATGTATCTCTTGTTTTTTTTATTTTTATTGTTGGTTGTTTAGGTTTTGTGACTTAATACTAAGTTGCAAGCAATTATGCAGTGAACTAGTATTTTGGTTTAAGGCAGGTCTTTAGAAAACTTTGGACCATTGTTTTGCAGGCAAATATGTATTTCACAAAGTTGAAACTCGATTTACAATGGTGATGCAGCAACTTTGTGAAAAATAACTTTGAGCCTACTTAATCTTTCAAATGATTTCAGCTATCGGAAAAAGCAATATGAAGAGAGCATGCAGGTGGATTTCAATGGAGAAAGAATAAAGAGAGAAGTGAATGGGTACTGAATTTTTCATATCATTTTAATGGGGAGAGCATACAGGTGGATTTTAATGGAGAATGAAGAATAAAAAGAGACGGGAATGGAGTTTGATGGGGAATAAATTAATAATGATTTGGAGGAAGTAATAGATTAATTGATGGTTCTTGCGTTAGGTTTAGCGAGTGGGAAGTAATAGCAAGGGTGATGTGTCATAAAATAAGATGACTCACTAGTGACGGCTTATGTGGCCATACTGATTAAGAAAATAATTAATATTAAATTTCTTCTGTTAGTGTGTAGGATGGAATTTTGGATGGAAACACTTAAATTGCATTTAAGTGGTACCCGGTGCACTAATTAGACTTAAGTGGTATGACTTCACCAAATAAAAAACTTAAGTGGTAGCGGGTGTATTTTACCATTTGTTTGCCATATTTTTCACTTGATGCTTATGGAATGACATTTATCTAACCGTATTGAAACCCCTAATGGTAGTCGGTAACATAAGAGGATATCGCTCGATTGTTTATCTAAGATGTTAATTAAACAACTTTTCCCGATTTAAATCTATTTGGTTTTAGAATTGTTGAAACCATAGAGTCACATGAGTATTAGAAGTGGAAAAATATTGTCCCTCAAAAGTATTGCTTTAACAATTATGTAAAAGTCTCAATTCGGAGTGGTGGGAAAGTATTTATCCATGAAAGTTTAGAGTGAAAATGAAAACGAAAACATCGTAAAACGAATAAAATCACCTGAAACTTCCTAATTCTCCATAGTATCATAGATGTTGCAAAACCTCTTAAAAATGATCATGCGGGTCATTTATGCTCACTGCAAAAAAAAAAAAAAAAAAACTAATTGTTATCGTATTGATGAAGGTGGGTGTGATATCCAGTTGGATCGTGTCCAATCGAAGCCCATCAAAACCACAAAAATTGTTGGTCTTGTAGGATTGAATAGACAAAATATTATCGTTTTGTCCTTCTACCAAACTCTATTCAGGATAACAAAGCATATACACTTAGCTTTTAGGATCAAATAACAGATCAACAACTAATTGTTAAATTATTATATAATACCTATCAAATTTCATTCAGTTATTAAAATTTTAAATTACAACTATACTCACATATTTTTATAATTTACTTAAATTGATTGGACTTCGGTACGAGAAATTTTACAATGGTATATAGTATTTGTGCTACAGGTTTTTGTCTTTATGGTACAACTTAAAATTGTACATTTATGTTATGGTACAACTTTAGATTGTACCTATAATTTTTGTACAAATTCTTTTATGGTACAACTTGAACTTGTACCTTTATGTGATGGTACAACTTCAAGTTGTACAGTTGTACCATAACATAATGGTATAAATTACTTTATGGTACAACCAAAACTTATACATTTAATGTTATGGTACAACTTTGAGTTGTACATTAAAGCACCAATGCTATATAGCATAGTAAAAGTGCTCCTTCGCTACGACAATTGAAACTCAAACCATTTGTAATTTGTTTGACCAACTCTACGTGTTAGACTAGTTTGACAACCTTGCCTCTGTCCCAACTGATTACGTGTCTAAACTCTAAACTCGGAGCGAGTTGTGTCCGGGTGAGTCTTTGCCGATTCCGCCACCCACCAAAAGAAAGCGCCACCCTTTCTGCAAGACCAGTTCCTCACCCAGCTCTCGCCGGCTCCCGTTTCTAGGGTTTCTGCGGAGGAAGAAATGGAGCCCGTCGTCGGCAAAATCAAAGACTTAAAGAAGTCAACTCAAGACTTCTTCGATGGCCTCTTCCACAATCGCGCCAAGTCTTCCCGCCGCAATCCGGTAAACTCCTCCACCCGTCACTTCTCCACTTCACGGCTTTCCCCGTAGTTGCGTTGAAGAACTCTGAAACTTTCATGTATTCCCCGCCAATAATGTGAATCTAGACAGTGAAGTCCAGTTTAGCATTTGTTTCACTGCTCTTAGAAATGGAATTCTGTGGGAATTTCGAAATGGGGCGAAATTTGTTTGTAGCTAATCAAACCCTTCCTACTAAAGGTAATGGGGATGTTACAGTTTGATTTGAAGGTCGTTTTCATGATCTTGATTAGATCTTCGTGGATTGTGGATGTGATGCAGATTGAGATCCTCAAGCGATTACAGCGGGAATCGTTCACTGACCTAATGAAGCTCAGAGAGAGGCAGGACAAGCTCGAGCGAACGGTCTCTTTCCAGAAAATCGCCAAGGGAAATCCATTTCAAAACTCAGGTGGTACTCATGTAAGGGGAGAGATCGATGCCCTAGGTGCTATACTGCTTATGGGCAGCAACTTCGATCAGTTTGATCACCACGACTCTCTTGGCCTTGGGAAGAATGGTGGCATTAGATCGAAGATATCCTTTGAGGCTCCCATACGGGAGAATGATAAACTCGTAGCAGAGTTTGGCACGGGAGGTAGCAACGGTGGTGATATTTTGGGGAGCACGACGCTTTGTCTGTCGAAACTATTATTCATGTCAAACATTCGTGACTGGTTATCAGCTACTGTAATGCCGGTTGGAGCTCAGTTCAGGCATCTGGGGTTCACTATGGATTCTTCAAATCAGGTGCGATTGCGCTTCACCTGTACTAAACCTTGTTCACTGTTGAGCAACTGAAGTTTTTTCTGAGCTTCAATTTAGATTGTGAAATATGCTTGAATCAATTGCCTGAGTTATAGACCAAAAGTGGTATTTAGGAGAACCAATAGTCAGAATCTCGAGTCAAATTCCTAAATGGCTTATGCTTTATGAGTTTACTTAACCGTACAGAGTCTAATCCTATGGTAAAAGCTATTTTCACACAATTTTATGCTTTCACTACTGGAATCAATGAACTGGGTAGAATCTTGAGGCTTTTTTTTTAATAGTTGCTACTAGCCTACTACACAGATCTGATGATTGATATTTTAATATTGTCATTCCTGATTGATAATGAATATGGATAAAAAGTTGTAATTGACAAACTTTATCGGGTGAATATTGCTGGTGTGAGCATAACTCTTGTAATATCTCAATACAATTTGCTGTTGTTCACCCTCATAATTCAACATTGAAATGTTCTGTCTTCATTACAGATAAAGGGCTTGACAGAGCTTTCAGCAATCGGTCCTCCTCTCATGAATGAACATAGTGGTTCAGCCATCGGTTTCACAGTGAGAAAGTCGAATCTCGTGGCTTCTTTTTCTAGTTCCCTATCCGGACTTCGGAAATCAGACCTATATTCATCAGAGCATTACTTCAGCACATTTGGCCAAATTGCATGCCAACTACCAAAAGGATTGAAGCTCTCAGTCTCGGGGGTCCACAAACGGCCTAAATCTTCTCGCCACTTTGTCAACCGAGGAGCTCTCACGATCCCTGTGGCCATTTTGAATCCACACCCAAATGCTCCTCACGACCCGGTCTTTGAACCACTGGAGACAAACCTATTTGAACTGACCCCAACGGGGTCCATTGCTGTGAAGTTGGAGAGCCAAGTTGATGAAGACACGAGGATGGAGGGTTGGATGCAGATGAATAACTCGAACGGGTCGAGCATCATGCAATGGGGATTGAGTAGGATTGATGATTCGGAGGATGGATGGGGGATCAGTGTTGGCGGGGAGAGGGATAACAGCGGAATTAGGTCGAACAGGTTTGGAGCAGAGGCGTACCTGAAGTTCAACGTTGGGAAGAAGTTCTGCTTGAAGCCAGGTTTTGCTTGTGCAGGGGATGGGAATTCCAGGATATGTGGGTTGATGTTTAGGTCTAATTGGTCGTTCTGATATATAACTTTACTTGTCTAATTTATGGATGTAAGTTGTAACTGTAAGAGACCGATTTCTACAGTGGCTAGGTGAAATGGTGAGTCATGGAAACATACACAGTGATCTATTTACATTCCGAATTAGGTTGAATCAATATGACCTGTTGAAACATGCCTAAAGGTCATATATTCCCATAAAGACGTAATTTTCAACTGTCATATATTCGACGCGTCCTTCACTCCCTCCATTTGAAATTGCAATTCTATGTCAAAGAATTCAGGACTGCAACGGTTTCTCATTTTCGCTCCTTCCCTTTTGCTCTCTTGCTTACGGGTTAATTGCATTATTGGTTACTGAGATTACAAAAAACGTTCAAGTTTGGTCACTCGAAATATTTAAATCCATTGGTGGTACTTCAGTTTAATGAAACCGTTCACGTTTGATCACTCTCCGTCCAACTCCGTTAAGTTTGGCTGATGTGGCAGTCAACTCTCAAAGTTGACCGTTAACTTAATGACGTGGCAATTAAAAAATAATAAATAAAATAAAATTTAATCTATTTTAATGTCCAACTTATTTTTACCATAAAAAAATAAAAAAATTATTATAATTGCCAAATTGAAGGTGCGCTTCCTCCACCGCGCTCTTGTTCGGGAGCGTCACTGCCGCGTCGGAATCGAACGGCTTCCGATCATCGTCTTCGTCTTCTACCGCTCCGCGGCCTTCGATCCTCTGGCGAAGGGCGCTGCAGAAGTAGTACCCGACCCGCTGGATCGGGTTTCCGGTCTCGGAAGCCAGTTGGTTGCGGAGGCGGAGGAGGACGGCGGCGCGATCGAATTTCCCCTTCCCGACTTTCTCCGCGCAATCGAGGAGGTACACCATGAGCTCCACGTCCTTGGCTTCTTCCTTGGCTTCTTCTTGTTCGTCGGCGGATGTTCTGGCCGCCTTCGACGATGCCATCGCTGACGGGGTGGACGTCATAACCATCTCGATTGGGAGGAGGTCCGCTGTTGACCTCGACAGAGACACCATCGCCATTGGCGGCTTCCATGCGACCAAGAGAGGGATCTTGACGGTCCATTCGGCCGGAAACGGCGGGCCGGATCCTGCCACCACGGCGAGCGTGGCTCCGTGGTTGCTCTCGGTTGCTGTCAGCACCATCGACCGGAAGTTCGAGTCCAAGGTTGTTCTCTGCAACGGAAAGATTTTTACGGTAAACAAACACTTATTGCTGTTTAATTCTTTTCATTCTCAAAAAGGGTGATGGTTGATCTTAAGGTTTTTAGGGCGGTACTTTTTGATTTCGAAAACAGGGGAGTTCGGTAAATGGATTCACGGAGAATGGGGAGGAACTTCCCTTGTTGTAGTTGTACTCAATCAATGGAAAAATTGGATGCACTACAATCTGCCAACCGGGATGTTGTGACAGTAGATTGGTGAAATGCAAGATCTTGATTTGCAACTCCATCAACGGGCAGTTTTTGGCTCTTCAAGCTGGCGCTAAGGGAGTCGTCTTCCCTTACGCAGAGCTCGACACGGCCTCCGTCGTCTCGTTGCCGGCAAGGGTTTCTTAAGCATGCTAGGATGTCTACCTAGCACTTTCTTGAACCTTGCATGATACACCTTCTTTATGTACTTTCATCATTTCAAATTTCAAATTTACTCAATTCTTTATGTAAACCTTCTTGAACCTTGCATGATACATCATCTATATGTTTTTGTATAGATTTAATGGTTTAAATGGTCTAAATTGGAACCCGTACTTTAGTTATTTTTAATTATTTTTTAAACTTCCTAGTCATTCAATTATAATTTTCCATATGATATATTATTTCTCTTCTATTTTTCAGTTCTCTTATTATTCTTAATTGGATCATATTTCTTCCGTTTCATTTCAAATACAAATATTTGATACAGAATAATTAGATTTTAATATATGTTAAAATAAAAATTTTAACAAACATGATAATGTATTCACGATCATATTCCTATTCCAAAAATTTACTTCACTATCCCAAATATCATCTAATCCTATTACACCATAATAAGTTTCGTGCACTACCATAATTCACGAGGCACGTTCCTATTCTATAAAATTAGTCACTTATATCGAACATCTTTAATTTCTATTTAATTATAAGACCATCCACATTGGTATTGCAATCTTAATTGCAAGATGTTATGATAATGAGTGTTTGCAATTGCAAAACAAATTGCATTGATGTGATTACCAATTGTACATTTGCAAGCTTGCAACATATGCAATTGTATATGTAAATCAAAAAGACCTAAAAATGGAGATTTTTTTATTTTATATTAGTTTCTTATCTCTTTTATTTTATTTTTTATAATTTACCCATAATATTTAATTACATATTCAATTACAAGTTAATTGTATTGATGTAGGTGAATGAAAGTGATTTGAGATGTATTGAAAAAAATTAAGTTGACAATAAAGAGCATAAATTAAGTTGGCTACTACATTTTTGTAATTTATGTCACTCCCCGTGCAATTATTTGTGGAAACATATTAATTAGTGAAGTTGTTGATAAAAAAACAAGATGTTATATATGAATCACACATATTCTTCAAAATCGTATGTATTCGCGCATCCTCGTCTTTCTCTCTTCTGAATTCACAATTAACATATATATACATATATAGTTAGTTACCTGTATAATGTTGTACATATTCTAGGGGTTTCGCCTGTACCATTGGGTATGATTGAAATTCCCTATCCCCTCACTATCTAATCATCCTACAATAAGTTAATAATTATTATTAATGGATTCACAAGGCAGTAACTAATTATTAATGGATTTTCTTTCACTTCCTTTGGGTTTTGTCTAAAATCTGTGACATATATGTTACTTTTCATTTATGTTATACTAGGTGGCGATGGCGCGCCTTGTCGCGGAGTGGAGATGGCCTATGTGCATTTACTATGTGGCTCGTTATGGTATTTTGTTAGTATTATTAGTCTAAAATTAATTTTTTGTTAGCTGTTTTGTTAGTAATATTGAATTTACTATATGATATTGACTGGGAAGAGATATAAGACGGTCAACATCCAATTTATATTTTTTTGAAAATTTTGGCTAGTAAATGATATTTACCTAAACTCAAGCAGACTCATTGATTATAGGTAGGGTATGGGTGACATATATATGAGTTTGGAAGTTTGTAGATGGGTTTGTGTAGGGTTTGAATATTTACTTCCATAATCTAAATGTGTATGAGTTGGGTATGGATACCCATTTTATTCGAGAGTGTTTTAATTACACATACAAAAATTAAACCTATTTTTAGAACTTTAAAGTTTAGGTACCAAAATATAATACACAATATTAGATACTAAAATGTAATGTTTCATCAACATTTTGAGGACTTATATGCCAAAAAAAAATTAGGTTATAAATCTAAAGATCTATTAAGTTTAGGTATAAAACTGTAATTTGCATAGTTGAGGCTTAATAGTTAATTCTTTTTATGGCGATGTATTTATGATGATAGTTATTTACTTTTTCATAGAAAAATGAAAACTATTTATTTGATATGTGTAGATACCTAGCCAAATATTCCATTTATAGTTGTTGAAAATTCTAGTCCGGGTGAAAAAAGAAAACTATAGAGAGAAGCAAAAGGAATACAAACTGGAACTCGCTTAAAATTTCACGCCCTCAAATCTCATAGTGGAAAATAATGACTTTGTAATAAGTAGTAACCATATATATTTATAGTTGTGATTAGAATACATAAAAATTGTATACTAATTAGGGTCAAACGAAGAAGGCAAAGAAAGGGTTATGGAAGACGAGTGAAAAATGAAACGAAGAGGAAGTAGATGATGGAAAGATTTTGACCAATTCTTGTAGTTGAACGTTAATACAATCAACCCTTTTTCATTGTAGCAATTTATTGACACTTGCTTACGTAGATGTCGCATATTTTGTTACATGTAGTTAGTAGAAGTTTGTTTAGTACCCCGTAAATGTACTAAATGAGTTTATAAATGAGCTCTTTTAATATTTTAGAGTCGTCTCTCTTTTTTCATTTATCTAATGATTCACGTAATGAGCAAATATAAAATGATCGAATCTTCTCCAACAGTTGAGTGATACAACATCTTGTATTGTACAAACTAAATTTATACTTTTATGTTATGGTGGATTGGATTCATAGATTGGTGGATTGGATTCATGGATTCAATTGAAATCTAAACATTGGACCGATATGTAAATTTATAAAATTGTAGGTACGAAAATATCATAAAATTTAGATACCAAAACATCATTATTCAATGATTTTATATTAAATTAACATTGGGGTATCAAAATGTAAAATGTACATTATAGTGACTAAGTTGTGATTTAATTAAATTTGGGTATCAAAATAAAAATAATTAGACAACAGTAACCAAACTTCACATTTATATATATTGTTATATAACATAGATTTTCTATATTTGTCTTATATGTGTAGACCTTTGAGATCCTTTTGTAAGAATGTGTGAAGGAAATTATCACGAATATATATCCCGGAACTAATTACACTATGTCGATTAAGGACTCTAAGTTATTGTCGTTTGTTTTGAGATGAAAAAGTAACGGATGGTATTTCGATAACGATGGAGATATTTTAAATTAATCATTGTTAATTAACCCATTTAGACACCGCTCGTGGCGTAGAAATGGAGCTCGATGTCCTCCTTTGACTCCTATTCTTCGTCTCTACCGACATTCCCCAACACCGCCGAATCCTCGCAGCTGCAAATCCTCCTCCCTTGATTCTGCTCCAGCGGCTCGACCACAGTTGTCCTCACCAACAAATGTTGGAAGACCGATCTGACCCTCTCCCGGCAGTATCGCACCGTCTCCATCCATCTATCCCCGCCGAAATTGCCTCCCAGAGAGGTCAGGAGAGCCATCCCTTGCCCCGTGCTCGCCTCGGGAAAGTCGGGCTATCGCGTAGAAGTATATCGACTCGGGGTGACCCGAATCTGCAGCCTCTCTCATCCCCGAGTCGATTGCATTGCTGCTCAGGTACTCCTTGATTCCGGTGCGGAAGAATGCTTCTGGGTTGCGGCTAGCAATGCATCGATCGAGGAAGGAGGTGGCAGAAGGGCTGATACTCCATGAGAAGACGGGGAATGGAGTGAGGTTGGAGATGCGGTAGACGGAATCATCCGCAGATGCTTCAAGGAGGGGTTTGCACGTCAACTTGGTGTTGACGAGGTCCCTCGTCGAGGCGCCAACTATCAGCGCCAAGATGCGAATGAATATGTTCTTCGGAACAATGGTGATGAGGTTGTGGCGGACCATGAGATAATTGTGACCAAGTAGGTAGCTGCTAATAATGATGAGCTAGTACATAATGCCATTATGCTAAATTAATTGATAATAATATAATTAACATTGTACGGTTAAAATAAAATAAGAACGACCAATTTACCTAAATCTCCTCTCCCACGGCGGGTTTCCTTTCGCCGTGGTCGGGGGGACACGAGCTTCCACGAGAAACCCCCTAATCAAAATGAACAAGAAGACATGAGGAACCAAACCGAAATCAAACCATAACTTAAACTCGTTGGTCGATTTGGTTGCACATAATGCTAAACATTACTTGCTCTCTAAAGAATGAATTGTTGTTGCGAATCTTATAGCGCCACTGCTGTGAATTGTAACGTTTCCATTGGTTAAGATTAGAATAAAATGAAGCCGAATCTTGTAAAAAAAACCATTCTCTCTCTCTATATATATATAACTTAATGGTCCAATTTTTAGGAATTGTCTTTGAATCAAACCTTGTCGAGTTAAGATTGAAATAAACTCGCAACATTTGTCTAATGATAATTAGAAACTTGATTTCTCATTAGTTAAATTCAAACATGTCGTGAGCTTAACTCACTAAATTAATCACTAACCCCCCGGAAAGATGGCGTGAAATGAAATTAGCTCCCAAAGTTCACTGGAACACCACCCAACTTTAATAGTCTCTTCATTTAATTTAATCATAATTTAATTTAATTTCCTTATCCCACCTCACCCCTTTCGAAGGATCCATGGTTGGCCTTACCGGAAACTTACCTTCCGCCGACCTGTGAGGTCATTGGTCCGTTTTTCCTCCTTTTGTTAAACATTTGTTTATCTATTTTGGTTATTATATTTTTCAGTATTATAAAAAAAATTGTAGGCTAATAGGAAGTCATCCAACTAAGTTATATAAGTGTTGATGCCAACTAACTATGCGCCTCTCCCTGATGCGTAGCGTCCCACCAGCGGTCCAAGCCCTGCACGCACAGGAACACCTTGAGCCCTTCGTCGGGCTCGTAAGCACTCCAACGCCCAAGTCAGGACCCTTTTCTAGAGAGAGAAGTGAATAGTAATTCTAGAAAGAAGTTCTAACCTGAGTAAATGAGGTTCACCAACCCAACTATTTATACTCGGAGCTCGGCCGACCAACATCCTTCTCTTCCGCCCTTTGCCAGGCCCGCATTTAATGCACCGTACGGCCAAGCGCTATGCGCCTCGACCACCTGACACTCAGTTCAGAAGATCGAGGCGCATGATGTCAGCTGGTCCCCAAGCCCGTACTTTTGGACCCCCTGTGGCTCTCTGTCGCACGCGCCTCATGTCAGAGTCATGGCCCCACCAGTCTGGAAAGGCCCCTTCCAGTCCATGAGCCAACTCCCTCCATGCCATTGGGCCCGTTGGGCCGGGCCCAACTCCGCAGCCTTCTAGCCTCTCTTCTAGGGCCATTCAAGCCCAGCCCACGTGGGCAATGTATGCACCCCCAACAATTGCCCCCCCCCCCCCAGTTAGGCGCCTGGGGCTTCTTCCAAGGCGCCTAACTGGATCTTTGTGCCCTGCGTGTATGGTCTTTCACTGGACGCCCTCTTGAGCGCGTCCGCCCTGATTTCGCGGCGCCTTGTTTGCTTACTCCACGCCTTGCCCCCAGACTTCAGCCCTCGTGATTTATTGACCCTCTCTCGTGCTGCCGTCTCTTCAGCTTCCTCCTCTTGAATGCCATCGAGATGCCCTTGGGATCCACCCCCTTCCCTCTGAGACCTTTGGACTTTTCCCCTATCCCATCGTGAGACCCTTGGGTTCCCCCCTCTATGTGAGACTCTTGAGCTTCCCCCTATCTCCCCCTAGCCCGTTTCAAATTTTGAATATCGAAATTCGGAATTCAAAACGGGCTAACACCCTCTCTCTCCGCTTCCCCCTCCACTATATATTCTCTTCTCCCCCCTCACTTTTTCCACTCACTTCCCCCCACCACGCTCTGACCTCTCTCTTCTTTCTCTCACTAGAAACGGCCACTTGCCCCCCTTGCGCCTTCCCTCGCCGCTCCTTAGCCCCCAGTTGCCTCGCCACCGATGGCCTCCTCGCAGCAACCTTCCCCCTCGCGCCCGACGCCTTCCTCTGGTGCCCTCATGCGCTCTTTTGTGTGTGTGTGTGTGTGTGTGGCTAGGGTGAGGCGCCTTAGTCTTTTGCCATTCGCTTTCTCCCCTTTTTTCCGTGCGCCCTATTCCTGCTATCCCGCCTTTTGTGCGCCTCGCGTGACCTGTTCCACCCTCGTATTCTTCACCTAATCCTGCCTTTGCTCCTTGCCCCAGGCCATGACGCATTGCAAAGTTATGCGTTTCGTTCGTGGGAATCTACTTGGGCCTCGGGGCAAGCGCCTGACGTGGCTGGTTTGCCCTTGGAATCGACGGGCCCGAAACACCCTTCCAAACTGGTGCGCGTGCGCCTTGAGAAACTGCTGGTGGCCGCTCAGATGCCTGCGCCTTGGCAATATGTCCATGCGCCTCGAGTGGCCAGAATAGGCGTTTGCGGAGCCGGTTGGGTAGGGATATATCAAGAGTACATGAGGTTCGGTCTGCGTTTTCACCTCGATCCAGTCCTCGAAGGGGTCCTCGACTCTTGCCAATGTTCGCTGGGGCGCCTCTCTCCAGCCGTTATACTATATTCCATCCTTTTCCGCCATAAGTGTCAACAATTGGGCATCGAGCCCACATTCAAACTCTTTAACCATTTCTTTAGGATGACCTGGAGTAACAACTGCCTCATCCTTCACAAGCGCAAGAAGATAGGTTACCACTTCATCAAGGATTGTCAGAAGATGGGGCGCACATGGTTCGATTCGTATTTCTTCTTGCCCTCGCGAAGCGCCTTTCTTTGCGAGCGGGCGCCCCGCCTTGACAGAGAGGTCACTGGTGACCCCTTTCTACTTCAATAAACCCGCGCCATTAAATAAAGCAGAGTTGGTCAGTGCTGCGCGCCTCTCCGAGGAGCCCTTCGACCTTAAGGACGACGACGCCTATGTGCAGCACTTGGCCGACTTCTACTAAGATGGTACTCAAGCGCGTGCGCTCTGCCCTTTCTTTGGCATGCGTCTCTCTCTCTCTCTCTCTCTTTTTTTTAGGGCGCATCATACTGACTTGCTAATTATTGTCTTTTCTCCCTTCTCTTGCAGGTACTGATTTTACCTCGATGACGTCCATCATCCGATCCCGGCTGGGGATTGGCTAGGGCGCATCACCTACTTCCTCGGCGCCTGCTTCTCCGGGGCCGTCCGCCTCCGAACCTCAGAGACGGAGGATCCGCATCAAATCGAAGGGGAAGGCTGTCGCCTCCCCTTCTGCATCGGGCGCTTCCGACGGGGCGCATGGTGACTCTCCGACAGGGAGTTCAGGCGCTGGCCAAGGTGGTCCTCGATCAAGCCCGACCGTGCTGGAGCGCTCGCGATCTCCAGTGACCCCTGCCTCCCAGTCCACGCCCCATGGGACGGGGAAGGGGGGCTCGCGTCCGTCTCCACCGCATGCGTCTCGGAAGAGGTCTGGGGACAACCGAGTTCCCCCTGCCAAACGGGCTAAGGCGCCCCAGGCAGATGCATCGGGGCGGCCCCCGAGTTTTGTGGCGCCCACTATCGGGCCCCACACTGTCGAGGAGATTCCTCCCTATCTCCAACCTCCAAGGCGCCCACTTACGAAGGTTGCCGTGGGCGTGCCGGTGAAGGCTGCGAAGGATCTGGGTGCCTCCGTTCAATGGGCGCGCTCCCAGTACGACGTAGTCGAGCACCCGGAAGGCCTGGTGTCCGACAAACCATGGCGCAAAATGACCAACCTCACTACGCAAGTAAGTTCCCGTCTACGCCTCCCAACCCTTGTTCTGGTTTCACAAATTTCCGTGCTTATTTTCTCTAACTCTTTACAACGCGCCTTGCCCGCTTTGCCATTCAGATGATGCTCCTGTGTGAGGCTACCACCCGTGAGGTGGAAAAGATCAAGCGCCATGGCGCGGAGGCTGCCATCGCCGCTGCGCGCCTCCAGACCGACCTGGACGCTGCGGACAAGCAGCGAGTCGAGCTGACTTCGGCATGTGAGGAGGCGCGTAAGAAGGCCTCCGATTATGCTGCGCAACTGGAGGAGCGGCTGGAGGCAGAGCGCACGAAAGTGCGGCAGGAGGAGCAGGCCAGGCACGCGGAGGTGGAGAAGGCGCTCTGTGAGAGGGAGGACGCCTTGACTCGGGAGCGTGACGCCCTAAATGCGGAGAGGAACTCCCTTCTTGAGTCCGTGACCGAGCTGGAGGCGGCTGGCAAGAAGCTAAGGAAGACGAGTAGGCGCTACCATCGGGACTTGAAGAAAGCCAGGCGCAATTTAGCTGACTACAAGAACACCACCGTTGGGAAGAACTTGCAGGCGGACGTCGTCATCAGCACGGTGGAGATAGCTCAGCAAAAGTTGCTTGCCGACCACCCAGATTGGACCTTCGATGCTCAGGATCTGATGTGCCACATTATCACCGAGATGGAGCGGGCGACTCCAGAGGCCGAAGGTGGGGAGGCGTAGAACGCACAAGGGGGGGGGGAAGAAGCAGGGCAGGACGTGCAAGACGGGGAGGAGGAAGAGCCGGATGTACAAGGCGCCGAGGACCAGGAGGAGGCGGGCGAGAGGGTCGATCTCAGCGGGAGCGACACGTCCGATGCAGGTGATGAAGGCACGGGCGGTAAAGAAGGAAGTGTGGAGGAGGTCGACGTTGAGGGGTGACGGGAGAACATTTCCTTCCTATGCTGCAATTTTCCCTTGGTTTTTCCTTGTAATCATTTGCTTTTTCGGATGTTTTGAATTTCGTTGGGACATGTTTAACTTTCATCGGTGGTTGTTAGAATTGCTATTTCTTTGAACTTCACGCTTGCGCGCCTACTTGGTCATCGGTCATTTTCTTTCCAAGGCGCAAAATTATGGGCGCTTTGTTTAAGGGCGCGAAGAGCTGGGCGCGTTTCTTAGGGGCGCGAAATTTTGGCCGCTTTACTTCGC